TGGGGTTTGGGGGGAGCCTTTCTGCAGCCCTTGCATAAAAGCAGGGTCCAAAGATGCTTGGTGCCCCCATCTCTGCGTCCTCCACCCCCCACCCCGGCTCTTGCCACCCCCGGGAAAGCGCTGCCTCCCCGCTCGGAGCCGAAGGCACAGCCTCCCCTCCGGTGCCATCCTGGCCAAATCAAACAAGAGCCTGGAAACAAATCAGCAAACAGCCCCAGCCACCTGCCAAAGTGCCACTGCAGAGCCGCGACCCCGTGGTTTGCAAATTAAAGGGCCAGCGGGAAGGCGACGGCAGGGAGAAGGGGGGAAGGGGCAGAAGGCAGCACCCCTTGCACCGAGGGGCTTTGCCCCGCCGGTGCCCACGCTCGCCCCCGGCAGCACTGCTGCCCCCGGGTGCCAGCTCCAAAGGCCTGCGTTAGATTTTCCCAGCGCGGCGGGGACCCAGAGCCCCCCGGGTGTTTGCAACCACAACCGCCCCGTCTGCGGGTACGGCAGGGCACGGCCGGCGGGGTTTTGGCTGCGGACACCACGGCAAGGGCAGCGATGCCCAGCACGGGGAGACACTCGGGACGTCCACCGTAACCACAGCCACGAGCAAAAGGGATTTGTGCGCCCAGGCTGCGGCCTGCTCGGCTGTGCCGCGGCATCTGCCCGGGACCGGGGGAGCCGAGCCGGACCCCCCGAGGTCCTGGGGCAAGGCCCGGGGGTGCCGCCATGGGGGCGAGCGGGGGCGCGCACTGCTTTAATTGGCCGCCTCGTTAGCAGCCCCTCTCCTGAGTGAGGCGCTGTGAGGGGCCTGATGGAGAGGAAGAAGAGCGAAGGCCGTTGCCTGGCAACAACACAGCTGTCTGTTGACCTAGAAGGAGCTGCTCACTCTTGACACAGCTGGTGTTTACATGGAGCTGCATGTTCGCATGGAGCAAAGCGCCTCCCCCGCCTCGCCTGCCTCGCCTGCCCCGCCGCACCGCGCAGAGTAGCACAGGGCGCGGACAAAAGAGGGGCCGCGGAGAAGGGAAGCAGCCCCCCTCCGCCCCAGCCCCGCGCCTCGGGGGGCTGGGAGTCGCCGCCAGCAAATGCCCTGGAGCTGCAGCCGTGCCAAGGATGATGGAGTCCAGATGCGGTCGCTCTCCGGGCCCCTGCTAGAGCCGGCGGGGCGTTGAGGACACTCGGCCCCTCGGAGGTACGGGCCTGCCCCGGCTTGCCGGGGCCCAGATGAGGGTCCCTGAGCCTATTGGGGAAACCGAGGCACGGGGAAGGTGCGGGAGGCGGTCCATGAGACCCTTCATGCACAGCAGCCTACTAACACACCTCTGCGCAGTAGCATTAGGCTACTGCGCATTAAGCGTCACTCCAACAACCGTGCGCTGGCTGCAAGATTGAAGCGACCGCGCATTTAGTTAGCACTTCATTCAGCAAGCGCTGAACGTACTGCGCCTTAACGACCCTGTAGACGTGCCCTGTTACACGCCCAAATCAGGCTCCGCTGCCAAGTGGATCCCAGCCCACTCGTGCACTCGCTGCATCAGCCCGAGACGGTCCCGATCCTGGCTCGTGGTCAGTCGTCAAGCCGCTTCCCTCTACCTCCACGCTCGGGTGTCGTGTTTAATCCGGCCCTTTCCACCCTCGGGTAGTGCCGATCGATTGCCGCGCTGCACAACAACGCTCCTAGGTCTCCTTTCCAGTCAAATCTCTGGTTTCCATTGTCATTTCCTCGCATCAATCACTCCTCGTGGGCGGGAGGTGTCTCTGTGTGAGCCCCCAAGTTCCCACTTTGATCAGATTGGGGCCAATTTTAAATGACTGGCGATTCGGAGTTTTTCTTTTCGTTACTAGAGTTTAAAAACCAACAACAACGATAAGCCAGCGGGTCCGTTGCCTTCAGGTATCGTGAAACCTGGGACTTCAAAATGGGCTTGTTGCGGAGATCTCGTTAAGATCGGACACTTAAGTCGAGTTGGAAGGAAATCGTGCTTTAACGTGCAGGCGCGTTCAAAAGAGCCCGTTTCAAAGACGCCCAGCACAATTTTCTAACTTTAAGCGATCCAAACTTTGAAACAACTAAACTGATTTTCTTGGAACACAGCATGATGGATTTGATTTTTTTTAAGGACTCAATTAAATCTACAAAACGGCATGTGCCGTTCGGGCGGCCCAAAAGCTTACCGATTGGTTTGATTGTTATTTTTTTTATCAGAGTAGTGCAGCTTCTCCTATCAGCACAGTTCCCGCTGCATCGTAACTGTTTGCTGAAAAAAGAAAGTACTTCAAAAAAAAAAAGAAAGAAATGTTAAGAGTTTGGTTGCCAACGTGTTTACATTGATGTGTAGTTAATTCAGTGTGTTTGTAGGACGTGCCCGTCGCACGCTTCACGCACTGATTGGCATTGTATAGCAATAGAAAACGAGGGTTTATTATATAGGTGCTGCTCGTCACTCCAAAGGCAAGCTCGCCTTCCCGGGAAAGCGCTGGTGCCCGGGCACTCGGGTCCACGGGCCGCCAGCGAAGCGCACCGCAGGTGATGTCGAGGGAAACCCAGAGCCCGGAGCAACGTGATTCGTCTTCTAGCGCGGGTTTGCAGCCCGGATTCAGACCCCTTGTGCTAGGAGCTGTACAAGCGCGCGGCACGAGGTGCTGCCTGCCCCAAAGAGCTTGCGGTCGGAGGGAGACAGAGCGTACAGAAAGGGGAAAGGCCTCTCCCTTTCAGCCTCCGCGCTCTGCCACGGCGTGTCCCAGGCCTATGCGACGTGCATTGTGCCAACGCTCACCAAGTAAAGCTGAAACCCCCCTGGATGTGGGGGGCCACTAAGTGCTCATCGAGTGACGGCTGGGGACGTGCAAGCACGGGTGGGAGTGAAGGTTGAGGGTTCAAAATGAGCGCACGGAGGCAGGGCACTGAGCACCGCAGATGAGGAACCCACGCCCTGTGTCCACAGAGCAATGGTGAGCCACCCTGCTAATAGAGAGGGGTTTGGGGTACGTGCCAACTGAATAGGGTCACAGGTTTATAACGAGTGCGCCGAGGGGGGATGCCGAGCGGAGCACCCCAGACAGCGCTCACGGGCCCTCGAGTCCAAGGGGCCAGCGGACACTGCCCAGTGATGCTCTGCCCGGAGAGGGGAACGTATTAGGGTGAGGAAAATGGCCCTGCAGTCCCTGGGACCCTCCTGGCCAGAGCCTCCTTCCACGGCCCGTTTGGCCAGGGCCAGGAGGAGGCTGCCCAGGAGGTCCCGGGGCTTGGCGGGGCCGTGGACGGGGAGCGCATAAGTAAAAAGATGCGGGGAATCGAGCAACCAGCACCTGGGCGAGCCGTTCTGGAGGAGGCGGTGCAGGGGCTGCAGCCTGGCGCGCTCCAGGCGGGCACGCGCGGGGTCTTGCAGGAGCAGGGGGGAGCGCACACTCCTCTCCGGGGGATGCAGGCGTCTTTATCACCTTTTCGTCCTGTGGGCCTAGCCCACCAAAGTGTCTTATTGGCCTCCCTCGGGCAGGGAAAGGGGCCAGCGGATTTCGTGGGACGACTCGTGAAAAAACCAGGGACGGGGGTGCTGGTCATGGGCTCAAAACAAGTGCCGGGGGGCGTGAACGCCGCGTGCCTCCGAGGCTGGGATCTCAGGATCTCAGCTGCCCCTGCTCCAAACAGGACCAGCCCCAAGTCCATCCTCCCCGGATGGAGCTTGCAGCACCTCTCTCTCTCTCTCGCAGTGTTTTGCTAGTGGGGAAGTTCTCTCACGCAGCCCCCCCGTGCTGCCCGTGGGCAGGGCAGGGCAGGGCAGAGCGGGGCGGTGCATGCAGCTGGCATGGGGCGCGCGGCTCTGCGCAGGCTGGTGCGGTGCTGCGCGGGGCTGAGGGATCCGGGCCCCGATCCCGGCCCCAAGCCGGCCCCACCTGCCTGCCCGCCACGCTACCAGGACGAGAACGAGAGCCCTGCACGGCCCGTAAGCCCGGAGCCCCCCACCTGGCATGCTGCCCCTTCCCCTTGCTGCTGGGTGGCTTGCCCCCAGGCTCTTCTGCAGAAGGGCTGCTGGCCCCCCTCCCTGCCCAGGTGCTCAAATCCTAGCTGGGGGCCAGGAGGCTTGGTGGGGAAGGGAAGGGCTGTCCTTTCTGCCATCTCGTGGGCTACGGGGACCCGGGAGGCTGCTCAGGTTGGCGGTGGGGAAGCGTCGGGGCCGCAGGTTTTCCACGGTTAAAACTTTTCTAGTCCCTGGGAAGCACAGGAGGAATTTGCCTCTCCTCCTCCTGCCCCTCTGCTTTGCAAGGCATCCCCGCCGGGCAGGCAGCTCCGGGAGGCTGAGAAGAGCGGAAGAAAACCTCGCCAGTCCCCAGAAGGGAAGACGGGCTCGGAAAGAGTTCCCGCAGGTGACGCAGAGCGGGGACAAGGGTGGCACAGCCGCGCACACGCACCCTCGCGCCGTCACGCTCATCCACAATGTCACAGCCCCTTGTTCAAGAAACCCTGGTACATGGATACGGTCCCAGCCCCCGCTGCCGTCTCAGACACAGCTCCATCTCCCTCTCACATGTGCACACGCACACCGCTCTCCATGAAGGAGACCCATGCAGTCCCTCCCAGAGGCCCCTGCTCTGAAGGGCCCAGGAGACACACGCACTCACACTCGCACGCGTGTGCACGCTTGGCCATTCGTAGCAGAGTGGAGGAAGGAGCAGGGATGGTGTTGCATGGGGGGGAAGCTTTTCCCGTGGCTGTGCACCGACTCCGTCTGCCTGCTCTTGTCTGCGTCATCCAGACATGTAAAACCACGGGCTGTGTCTGTGCCCGTGCCCGTGCAGGCGGGGAGCTTCGGGCGAGCTATCCGCGGGTTCAGACTGGTACCGAACCAACAGCCGCAGAAAGGGGACGGGTAGGTTTCCGCCGCCGATCCGACGGCCTCGCCCCACAGCCCCGCGCTGGACCCGCTGCCAGGCGAGGGCTTTTATTGAGGATGACCATTAAACCCAACAAGGGAGATTAAGGCTGCGTGCGGGGTCTGCCTTCGGTGCCGGGGAAGGAGCCACATGCACACGCCTGCACATGCAAACGCAGCCCGAGCTCCCGTTTCGGCCCCGGCCCCGCGATCCGCGCCGGGGCGCTCGGGCAGAGCGGCGGAGGATGCAGTGAATCTCGTCCTGCTCCTGCAGTCCCGTGATTCGAGCTAAAGGAGACTCTCTGTGAGCAGAGAGCAGTATGGGGTCTCTGGCACAGGCCAGCGGTTGTACCCGTGTAGCAGAGGGCGGCGGTGCCCGTGCCCTGTGGCTGGTTTGTTTTGCTCCGCTCCGATGGGGAAACCGAGGCACCGCATCTCGCGGCAGGCCGGCAGCAAAGCTGGGCCTAGACGTGGACTCTCCCGATGCCCAGGCCCCTGCTAGCGGCCTCAGCACCATCCAGCCCCGAGGCCTGGCCTTAAAGCTGCCTCTGGCGGGGAGGGGGTACCCTTCCCACGGGCTGCGGGAAGCATTTCCCAGTGTTTGTCTTTAAATCTTGCCGGCCGGCCGGCTTGGAAGGGAGGCAAAGGGAGAGGAGGAAATGACTCAGGGGCCGGGAGGGTGGGGCGATGCAGTGACCCCATCAGCTGGGGGGCGAGGCTGAGCAAACATCCCCAGGACCCAGCAGCGCTTGGCCTGGCTGGGGGCAGAGGTGGGTTGTGGCAGAATTGGGCCTCCCAGTTGAGACCTGGCAAACTCATTGCATGCCAGCAAAGCAGCAGGCAGCGCTGCTGAGCCGCAGGCACCTTCCGCTGGATTTGAACTGGGGACCTCGAGGGGAAAGCCTGGGGTCCTTTACTGCTCCTGGGGCCGGCTGAGCCCTCGCTCCGGCGCCGGCTCTTGGATTTTGTGGGAAGCCGGCAGCTGCCCGGGGCGGCGCGGACAAAGGGCGAAAGGCCCCCGCGCCCGTCGCCCACGGGGCCGGGGTGGCTCATCCCGCGCCGAGCGGTGGAAACGTGGCCCTGGGTGCCGCGGGTTTGCCGCGTGGGGGAGGGAAGCTGAGAGCCGGCGCAGCTGGGGGCAGAGCGCCTGCAAAGGTCTCCACTCTCCAGTAATTGTAAAAGCTGTGTTGCAGCCGGAGGAGCTGAGATCAGCAGCGCAGGGGCCAGGAAGGGCCGAGGAGGAATAGCACGGGCTGTTGGACAAGGGTCATTCAGAGCGACTGTGTTGAACCCGCACCCGGGGCCTTTGTCCGAAATCCAGGCCCCGAGCAGGGAGGCAGCGGGATCCGGCGAGGGGGCCAGGGCTGTGCAGCGGGGCCAGGGACGAGAGAAGAGGCGCTGGCACCGGGTTTTCCCGTCCGGCTGGTCCCGCTGCTGGGGGCTGGCGCCCCAGCTCCCCTCCTACCAGGCCACCTGGCCCACGGGACCAGGGCAGCCGGTGCCGTGATGCCAGGCCAGCCCGCGCAAGGGGCCAGACCCCCCGGGGCACCACGCACGGCTCTCGGGGCGGTGGCCTTGCAAATTCACCTCTGCTCACGGGGCGGCGGGGGCAAGACCCCGGAGCACCATGCTGGCGAGGGGGGCAGGGAGCAGACCCCAGCCCCAGCTCCCCCAGCCTACAGCCCACAGCTTTCCTGCATAGAGAGCAATAAGTCTGGGGCTGAAACCCAGGTGAAGCCCCTTTAGGAGCCAGCCTTGCTCGAGTATGATGAGACCCAGCTGGGGTGGGGATGGGGGGAGGGAAACAGGTGTTTCCTATAAAGGGCTGAGCCGAGAGCCGTAGGGGGCATGTTGTTTTTTTGTGACAAGCCCTGCAGCAGCGTGAGCAGCCTCCGGGTCCCTGCCGTCTGTGCTGGGCAAGGGAACAGCTCTGCTCTGCGTGAGGGTTTTGGTTGAATTAAGAGGCTGCTCCTCCGGGGCAGGGGCTGGGAGAGAGGTGGCGGGGGCAGCACGCGCCCCGCCGCTGCCAGGGAAGAGCCTGTGTCATCCGCGTGGGGCGGAGGTGCCCACGGGGTCCAGGCGTGGCATGGGTGCATCCGCCTGCGAGCAGCCTGGGCAAAGCCGGGTGCCAGGGCGAGGCGGCCCCCCGGGCGAGCTGGCAGGGGAGCTGGAGCCGGCTCTTGGAGAGGGGAACCGGAGCTGGGGGAGCAAAATGCAACCCAAGGCATTCATTTTCCATGGGTCCAAACAGCGCGAGTTTATCAGCAGCGGCAGAAGCGCCGCGCTTCCTGTCTCGGTGAGGAATGCAGGCTCCTCGGGGAAGGGATTAAGGGGATTATATTATTATTTGTTATCGCGGAGGGGGGAGCACAGCGAAGAAACCTCGGTGGCTGGGAATCCTGCCTAATCGGAGCAGAGATTAGCTTCCCCCCACCCGGCCCTCTTGGCAGCCGGGGCCGGCTCCAGCAGGCAGCCGCGCTCTGTCCACCTCCCGGCTGCCAGGGCAGGGCAGGGCTCCAGCGGGCGTGTTGGTGCGGCTCTTGCCCGCCGTGCCGGGCCGGGCCGGGCCAAACTTGCCCACCCGTGCACCTCCGGCACTTTGATTGCCACTGCAGCTGCTGCCTGGGCCCTTTTGTCTGCTGAGGATGAGCCAGGTGAATCACAGCACGCCCCCGCCCAGCCCCGGGGGCACCCTTGTCCTGCCCTGCTCACGGGGCCCATGGAGCAAGAGCTGGCCATGCCCGGGGTGCCGGGGTCAATGATTCGGGCCCAGCCCTCCGCTCCCCCAAAGTTTGCTGGGCATGGGAGGGGAGCCCAGCCTGGTTAGCAGGGTGCGAAGCGGGTTTCTGCATGCCCGGGGCCAGGCTTGCCCTGGGGCAGAGGTGCCCTTGCTGTCTTGCAGGGTATGTATGTGGCCAGAGGGAAGGGTGGCCCACTGGTTAGCGTGCTAGGCTCGCAGCAGCCGCTCCTTGCTTGGGAGCATCCCTCGGCCTCAGTTCTTCATCTGAGCAATGGGTCTGCAGTGAGGGGAGGCGTAGAAGCACCTTTGCTGCTGGCCGAGGGGGGGTGAGGCAGAAGACCCTGCCCGGCAGCCTCCTGCCTTCGGGGTCTGGCCCTGCTGCTGGAGGAGGGTCTGGGGTTGGGGGGAGAGGAGGCCACACGGAGCCTGTGCGGACGCGAGGGCGGAGGGGCTGTTTGTCTCCTTGCGCTCGAGGCCTGCTCTGGCCGTAATTAATGACCTGCCCATCCGGAGCGTTTTGGGCTCGCGGCGGGAGGCTCTGGGCTGCTTCCAGGCGCTCTGCTGATCATACTGATAAGGCCGGGCGGCCGTCCCCAGCCCTGCCGCAGTCGCAGGCTGTCGCCGCGCGCTGCGCTGCCTCCGACCTGGGCAAGCAGGCCTTTGTTTCCTGCACGGCATCATCTCCAGCCAGGCTGGGAATCGCAGGGAGTGGGTTTCCTTCTCGTGGGCTGGCTCTGGACTCTGCCACTGACTGCCCAAAGGACCTTGGGCAAGTCGCTGCCCCTTGCTCCCACCCCTGGAGCGGCGGTGCCTGCCCCAGCTCCAGCTCCGGGGAGCCCTGATGGCAGGGGCTTGCAGACGGGGCCTTGCAGAGGTTGCAATACCTCCTCCTCCTCTTTCCCCTGGTGCTGGAGAAAGGGGTGGGAGAAGAGTGCATCTGCGAGTGATGGTGCCCACGTGGCTGGTAAATCCATGGGGGCTTTTCCCAGTGCACTAGCCCCACAGAGAAGGGGCTCGCGCCTTGCCGGGCCAGGAGACCAGCCCTGACTGCCAGGCGAGACCAGTCCCCTTCCCGTCTCCCTGCGGCACGGTCCCCATCCAAGTGCTGACCCGCGGAGCCGTCTCGGCAGCAAGCTGCTGGTGCTGGGTCTGGGGTCCCCAGCCCTTCGGGGCCTTGTCAGGGTCCGGTAAGGGGCTAGCAGCCTCATGAGCTCCCCGGAGCCGCAGCTGGGTTGTTTTGCGGGCTTCCCCGGTCTCCTGGTTTGCAGCTGTTTTCTCTCCGACCTCAGCAAACCCGTCAGGACGTGGTCCCGCAGCCCTGGGCCGATGGCAGCGAGTCCCTGCAGGGAGAGGCCGAGCGGTTCCTTGCCTACATCAGCACCCCACAGGTAGGGCGCGTGGCACCGTGGCCCCTCTCCAAACCAGCCAGCTGCCACGGGGTGGCAGGCACCGGGGCTCTCTGAAAGCGCCCCCCGCCCGCCTCCAAACCGCTCTGCTCCCATCCCCGTTGGACCGTGCTGGCTTCCTGCAGAGCCCTGTATCCCCTGCGTGGTCCCCGCGATGCTTGGCAGAGGGGGAGGGACGAGGGAATAGCCGGGGCTTGGAGGGGGGCAGTGCCACCTAGCCCCCGGGCTCCTGCCGCAGCCCCGCCGGGGTGAGGAGGGCATGGGAAGGTCTCTGGCCCTGCCTTATCCCTGCCATCTGCAGTGCTCTGGAAGCAGCCCAGAGCTTCCTGCTGCAGCTGCGGGAGCGCTGGGGGGAGGCAGGGCAGCAATTACGGCTGGGGCCCGGGGAAGGAAACATCTGGGGAAGCCTAGAGCTGAGATGCTCTCTCCTGGCGGGGGGCGGCGTGGATGTGGAGAGACCGCTGCCCGGCTCGGGCTGGGATGCTAGAAGCCTTCAAGCCCTCCGTTGTGCTGGGCTGGACCAGATCCTGCCTCAAGGGCTGGCTTCTGCCCTTCCTCCCCTGCAGCTGCCTTGCTCCAGGGCTCTGAGCCAAGCGGGGCCCAAGGCCTTCGCGGACAGCACCCGGGAGCCCTGGCGCGTGTGCCTGGATCACCTGCCCAGCCTGGCCCCGAAGCCACAGCAGCAGAGGTGCCTGGCATACACCTTCAGGTGAGGGAGCTCCCGTGAAGGGAGGAAAACGGGGCTGGGGGAGGCTTCCTCTCACTGCATCCCATGGCCAGGCCTGCGACCCACCCCTTCCCTGCCTGCGGCTCTGCTCCGCGGAGGCAGCCGCGGATCTGCTCCAGGCTCGGTGCTTTCTGGCAGCCTCAGTCAGTGTTATCACCACCTCCCGGCCCCTCTGAACGTGCCTCCAGGCAGGCTTTGCTGGCTCGCTGGGCTGGAACGGCAGAGGGGCTGGGGGCTGCTCGGGCATCCTTTGGCAGCCAAGCAGCTGCCCCCCGGGGCTGCTGTGGACCCGGGAGACTTTGTCACTGGGGCTTTTGCAATGGAGCTGTTTTGCCCCTAGCAGGAGGCTCCCCGTCCCTGCCCTTGGCACGAGCCTCCAGGGCTCTGGGGTTCCCGCCTTGCCTTTCTCTCCGAGTCTGGGGTCTGCATCTGGCGTGGGGGAGCTCCGTCCCTCTAGAAGGGTAGGGAGCGTCTGATGGGATAAAGGACGCCCGGCCGCGCCAACTTGGCTGGGGCAGTGGCCTGGGGAGCACTGGTCGGTGCAGAAGCTCCTTCAGCTCCGGTGTCTCTGGGCGCTTCGGGCTGGCTTCTCCCGGGCGCAGGCTGGGCATGGAGCAGCCGTGACCGAAGAGCAAAGGCACCTCCGCTGCAGAGTGCGAGCCAAGCCTGCCCGTCTCTGCCTTGCTTGCATAACATCACCCATAGCACGCCGTCTTGCAAGCAACGGTCCTCAGGTCATGCTATGCTGGAAACACTCTGGCTGGTGCCGGCACGTGCCTCGGACATGGATGTCTCTCCAAAGCACCTATGGCTAGCCAGCGTCGGAGACAAGCCGCTGCGCTCGGCGGAGCGCTGGCCCGCCCCGGCATGGCACTGCTTCTATTCCTAACATTTCTCTCCCTTTCTGTCCGCCGGCAGCGTGGTCAAAAGGATCTCCGAGTTTGCCCGGCGGATGAATGAAATGGGGTGTCAAGTGCACAGCTTTGGCTGGACCCCCGACCGGCACGCAGAGGAGCGCTGGCAGGAGGGACGTGTCCAGCATCACCGCGTGTGGCTGGACTGGCACGAGCAACCCCCGTCCGCTTCGTCGCGGAGGCAGAGGAGCGCTTCCAAGAGGCTGAGCCGGATCATGGAAAGCCTGGGCCACGAGAAGGTAACGGCACGTAGCCGCGTCTTTCTTCCCCTCGTGACCACGTCCGTGTAGTAGAGGTGAGAGATAAAGGATCTGAGAGAGGTCTCTGCTAATCTGCTGTGGCTCAAAGTGCAGTCCTTGGAGTTTGTGTTGCACAGAAACGGGGGAAAAACAGGGCTGGAGAGGTCGCCTAGTCCAGCCCCCTCCCTGCTCAAGGCAGGATCAGCCCTGTCTGAACCAGCTCCGGCAAATGTTTGTCTAACCTGCCCCTAAAGACTTCCAGTGACAGACTCCCCAGCCCAGCTGGGTAAACCATTCCCAGGCTAGGCCCCTCCGAGTTAGACGGTCGTTTCGAGTATCTGCCCTACAGCTCCTCGATTGATTGGGCTCTGGGCTTCTGGGATGCAAAGCACGATTGATCACCATCCTCTTTAATGACCCTTTTTGCATTGGAAGACGGCTGTCAAATCCCCCCTCGGTCCTTAAAGAGTCCCAGTTCTGCCATGCTCTTCAGATCTCTAATAGTCTCTGCTGGCGTTGCACTGGAGCAATGTCCTTCAGTCTCCGAGTGATGAAGCCTTCTGCCTCTTGTAGCACAGCCCAGGCACTTCTTTAAGCTGTGCATTTTTTTTTTTAGCATGGGCAGAGCCTATTCAAACATGCAACACTCCTAACATGCAGCCCCCTCTGCCTCTCGCACGGCTGTTTCATGCTTGCCTTCGCTGTAGTTTCCATCAACCCACGATCGGGTGTGCAGCGGTCGCCCAACCCGGCAGGGCAGCATGCAGGTAACAGGACCTAGAAAGCTGGGCTGGGATTGTCCAAAGGCCGCTGACCCAACTCTGGTGTACTCGAATGGGCTTTGAGAACCGGCTTCTTGGACAACACCACTCTAGGACAGGCCGCAGGGACGGATGTGCTCTGAATCGTGGCCACGTGAGCTGGTGAATGGAGGAGGAAAGGGGCATCTATGCCTGGCCGCGGCAGGATATAATGCCTGGCCAAATGCACAGGATGTTGCTAGCAAACACAGCTGCTGCAGCCCTACCTCCTTTTTCCAGACCTGCTAAATCCTTGTCCCTTAGAAGCTGTGCATGATCCGAGCAGGGGGCCCATGCCTGCTGGCAATGCCCTGCCTCCCTTCCTCCCACCCGGGTGCCGATAAGAGCAGCTGAGTTTGCTTTCCCCTCTCTCCCTGGGGCAGATCGACGTGCTGGAAGCCGACTTGGCCAGCGCGGAGTGGAAGATCCTGGAGAGCATCCTCCTGGACGGCACCGTGGCCGCCGTGCACCAGCTGATCCTCACCCTGCACCTCCACTGGCCCGGGTTCGAGGTGAGCGGGAGCAGCGCCGCGGTGGTCCGGCACTGGTACAGCTTGCTGAAGGCGCTGGAGGCCAGAGGCTTCCAGCTTTTCCACAGCTACAAGGACCTGCAGAAGCCGCAGCGGTTCCTGCACCGGGAGCTCCTCAACGCCAGCAGCTCCTACACGCTGGGCTGGGTCAACACCAGCTGGATGTACTAAGAGGGGGTGGGCTGTGGAGGGGGCCTTGTTTGCACGCGGCTCCTGCCCCTGGTTTGTAGGTCCCAGCACATCCTGGAGCGAGCACCCTTGCTCCCCATGCGTGGGTGACGCAGGCAGCGGGTTCCCGAGGAACCCGCGGAGCTCTCCGAGGCCCGCAACTCGGACGGCGGGCGGATGTCGGATTCAGGGGGATGCCTGAACTGGACCGAAACCAGCTCCACGGTGCCGAGACATGCTGGAGCCCCACGTACCATGTGCCCGTATCCCCGCTGCGCTGCCCTGGGGTGCAGACGACGAGCGCCCTGCTCGCAGTCTCCCTAATCAATGCCAGTGCCTTGCTGTTGAGCTCCTGCAGCTCGGATAATAAGCCCTGCTGATGCCTCCTGGGAGGAGACGCAGCAATGCTTCTGCCCGCAGCTTGCATCGGTCCCCCCACCCCTCCAGCCAGCGAGGGCCAAAACGGCTCTGGGGAGTAAGCACGATGCAGTCCTTCCCTGCGCCCTGCTGCTTGGGAGCCCTTCTACCCGGGATCGTTAGGGTGGCTGAAGTGGGAAATCCTGCAAAGGTTGCGGGAACCAGCAGCAGCCTGGGCTGATGCAATTAGGTCAGCTGGGCTTTTCAACCAAGCCAAAGGGAGTGACCCAATAAGAGCCTGCTCGGGTTTGATGCGGGAGTTTGGTCTCTCTGCTCCCAGAGACTCCTCTCCAAACCCCAGCGAACATCTCAACCGAATGACAGGGGGTTTCAGAGTCCCCCCCCTCGCTGGGAGCCCGCCAACCCCCCAAGACCCTCCATGAAAGCAGGCAGGGGCTCTTTGGAGAGCCGGCTGCATCACGAGAGCATCTCCTGCCAGTTGGGTGGGAGCTCGACGGGGACCGCTGCAGGTCTGCTTCCCGCCACGACAAAGCGGTGCAGCATTTCCAATCTCATGGCAAAAGTAGGGGGGCGCGGAAAAACCCCTACACTTTTTTTGAGCAACCAAAGAAAAATTCCAGTTCCAACTTTGGGTCAGGTCCAGTTTGCTTTCATCTACATGCCTAGGTTCAAACCGCTAGCGCACAACCGTGCTGCAGAATGGCATTTAAAGCCAATTCGACTTGCGCCCTTCCCCGGGGCGAGGGCTAGTTCCTTGAGGGGCTCTTTTTTTTGTTGCTATTTTATTTTTTTTATTTACACTTTATTGCTCTTGTTTTTGTGGCTGCTCTCGCTGCTGGAGCGCACAAAATCCTTCAGATCTCGGCTGGCAGCAGAGATCCGCCTAATCATAGTCATTATCTGGTAGCAGGTAATGGGCATCTTTCCCATGTTAATTTGAAAACAGAATAGATGAGAGCAGGACACTGGCGCACCGAGCATGCTCCTAGACCCCCCTGCGGCTGGAATTCGCTGCCTTTTTTTTTCCTTCCTCCCCAGCAAGTTGTGTACGGCGGAGATCCTGCTCGATGGGCTGACATTGCTCGTGCAGTAGCAGGGCTCCGAGGTCACCGGCGGAGACATAAAGTGCAAGAGGATTTTTATTTTTCGGTATAAGCTGGCAGAGCCCGGGCGTCTGGGTTGCGAGAGCCTCTCGAGATGCTCTGCCGTGATTTTGCCAGCACCGACCCCAGTAACCTGCTGCTAAATAAGTAAGCCCAGGTGCCACTGGGGGCTGGAGGATGCGCGTCAGCTGCAGGAAGGAATGAAATGCGCCAGCGAGAGCCATGAACCGCACAAATTGCGCTCTGCCCAGCAGTGCAGAAGCCTGGCAAGGATCCCATCGCACACCGCGGACACAGAGGCCCTTTCGGCTGCTGCAATAAAAACTCCCTGAGTTGGTTTCTGGGGTGGACCGTGCAAAATAAGACCATCTCTTTATTGCCCGCTGCGTCGGTGCCACCCGAACTGGCCGTGCCAGCCCGCTGCTTGCACTCGGTGGCGGGGGGCCAAATCCTGCCTGCCTCTTAGCACCGCCTCGCCCTTCTCCCTGGCTGCAGATGCAAAATATCTCGGAGGCGACAGCCAGGTTTTGTCTCCTCTGGGCAAGTTCCCCCTTCCCACGGGGGCGGGAGCCGGGAGGAAGGGTGGCGTCGGAGTTTCGTTTTTTCTGAGATACCGTTAACTAGTGAGCAAAGGTTGCAGTGTCTCCATGGAGACAAGACAGTGAGCGAGACGGTGTGTGTGTGGATCTAAGGTTAGCGCTGATTAGTAAATGTCAGCAGCACCGCTGCGTTCCCGCAAGTGCCCTCCGCCAGCGCCAGCACCGGCCTGGGCGCCCGGCGGCACGGGCAAAGCAGCGAGCCAGGCTAGGGGGCAAGGGCACCTCCGTACCCACGGGGAACTGGGATCCCGCTGACCCCTGGGCAGTGCCGGCGTTGTCACTATGCCATCATGACCGCTGCCAGGCCAGGTCTCCAGCCCCCCCCCCGAGGTTTAACGCGGCCCCTCGCTGCGCCCCGTGCAAGCATCAATCGAAGGGGGAGACTGGGGTGCAAGATGCACGCTCCTTTGCCCTTGGCCTGGCCGCTGGGCTTGGGGTGCCATGCTGATCAGGCTCCGGCAGAAGATCTCGAGGATTACAAACCGGAGCGCTCTGCGAAACAGAAAAGCACAGCTGTCTCCGTCTTGCGGAGAGAGAAACAGCGACTCGGAGAGGTAAAGGGGTTTGCAGTTAGCCCGGGCTGGGGATCTACAGAGCTGAGGCCAGTCGCTGTCGCAGCTCAGCGCCTGGATCAAATCTCGCTGCTCCCAGCTCCCAGCCCTGCTCTGTCACCACGAGGCTACGCGGCCTCCCTACAAAACAGGTCATTTCGGGGTCCTGGGGGCTTCGGTCGCTGAGGTGAGCCCCTTTTGAAGAACGGGCCCGTTTTCGTGTCCATAAAGTGCTGACGGCGTGACAAGCCAGCGCGTCGCAAACCTCCCTTGCAGCTTATCAGAATGAGAAATGTAAGCAGAGCTCTCCTCCACGCAGCACAAGTGAGCAGCTGGCTGGGAAAACCAAGGGACCGCTGAAGCTCACAGGCAGGATTTCACGTCCGCCCCCAACACACAGCACTGCACCACCACTCTGTCTTCACAAAGCAGATCAATCAGCTCGACGGGCTGGCTTTACTTGATGCTCTTCGGTCCCTGCTTCCCTTCAGCTTTGGTCCGGTTCGGAGCCCTGCATGTGAACAAGAGCTCGGCCCCGGGGGCGTTGCTCTAGCGTCGAGGCCAGGTGCAAATCCCTGCACGTTGCCTCCGTTTCCCAAAGCCAGTCGCAATCTGCGGGTGCCTCTCGGTCGGAGGGTGTGCTGCTCCGTGCACCCCTCCTCAGGGAGGGCAACCGTGCAGTCCCAGGTGACACGGCAGCACGTACCTAGCCTGCCCGGGGATTAGCAATGCAGCGGCACAGGCTCCAACGCAGGCTGGACAAACCTGTCCGAAATCCTGGGTATGTGCTGGGCTAGAGATGAGCAAGCAGGCTTTTAGGCCCCCCATTCCTAGAGACCCCCCGTGTTATTTGGGCAGCGGGGATGTACTCGGATGTGCTGCAATACCCTCGCTGCTGTTAGCACCGACATATCGCCACGCGCTGCCGTTATGCTGCAGTGCCGTGAAGAGATCACCCTGTGCAGCTCCGAGCACATGGTCAGCTCCGCGCAGAGTTGCAGTTCGATGGCACAGTGAGCCCTCCCGAGTCCAGATGGGCAGCGGCTTGATCTTAGCTCCCCGAGATCGAGCATCTTATTTCCAGAAGGCCTCGTTCGGTCCGCAGGCCCCTGCTCATCTGCTGGCCCCCTTCAGTGGTCGGCACTAAGATTTTGACAGGCACGACCCACGGGCTTAACGTAATGAGATTGCAGCACTGGGGAAGGATAGAAAAAAGGAGCATAAGCTCAGGACTGAAGTTCACCATGAAAGCAGCGTGTCATGGAAAAGCCTCCATCATCTCCCCCCCCCGCCCACGCCAGCTGCTCAGCTAGTCACCTTGGCGGTCTGCAGGGCAGCGCAGCCAGAGGATCATTTACAGGCAGAAAATACAGAAAGGCAATTGGCAGGTGATGAGATCCTTTCCAGGAGAGAAATAAGTGTCAGGGGGCAGCGCGGCTGCCTGGGATACTGCAGCACAGCACATATTCAGGAGGGCTAAACTGAGACACGTGTGCGTGCAAGCACCCCCCCCCCCCCCAGTAAAAGGCTCTAGCGCCCCCCCGAGATAAAGGTTGCAGAGCAGACACAGATTAGGTGGCTCCCTTGAGGCTATGACACCTAGAGAGAGAAGCAAATCCTCTTCGAGTGAACTGGCAGAGAGGAAAACCTGGAGTCCAAAACCTCCAGCACCTTCCTCTTGGGGCAGAGGCTACGCCTTGCGGCGGTGCGAGCTTGTTCGCACTGGAGAGCTGCGGGGCAGCGGGCAAGGGGCTTCTACGGGCGGAGAGCGGAGATCCGTTGCTCTCAACCTCGTTAGAGTCGAGGCACCCCTGCACAGACTCGAGGTCCCCTGGGAAAATGCCAGCTCTTCGCTTTCACTCTTTTTTTTGGACTACAGAAAAATAACACGAGCATTTTTTTTTCCCTGTGGCAAAGCACTCAGAAAGACCCCAGCTGCGGATTCCTATTTGAAACCTCCGGGTTTTTCTCCTGAATCACTCAGCTGGCAGTGGCACCCGGGAGAGGATCTCAGGGCACCCTGCTTGAGAATCCCTGGTGCTGATGGGAGGAGCGCCTGGAGGGGTGGAGCCAAGTAATTAGTCCTGATGATTTCAAGATGTGAGCTGAAGGCAGGCCCCAGGGAAGAGGAGATGGGATGCAGTCAGGGAGCACTGGCAGATTGGCAGGTGCTGATTAAGACGAGCGTGACCTTCAGCCCTGGACATGCTCGCTGACCCAGTTGCTGCGGCGTTCAGCTGCCGAGCCGTCCTTTGTTGGCCTTTGCTGTGGCAGCCCTGCGAGGTGCCGCGCTGCGGGAGGGGAGGAGGAGGCCTTGCACGCGGCTCGTGTGGCAGGTGTGTCGTGTGCAGGCGCCGGGGGAGTCCAGGAGGGTCCCTGGGCTGTTCTCTTTGTGCTGCGCGGACGAGCTGCTTTCCCCGCCCCGCCCCGCTCCCGTCCCACGGCCCCAGCACAGCCAGCTTCCCGTGGCACGTGGAAACGCAAGGGGGAAGTAGGTGGGCTGTGGTGCGCTCTAGCTAGTGCCTAATCCAGCTCCAGCTGGCACAGCTTAGAGCGACCCCCAGGCTGCTCTAACTTCCCCTAAGGCCGGGAGGGAACCGGGGAGTTTGCTCCTACGCGTGTGCCATTGGTGCAAAGGGGAGCGTCCGCACCGCTCTCGCCCGCCGCACGTCCCTGCAGCATTGCAAAGGGCATATATTGGGATTTGCGGGGGGGACCCCAAATGTAGGGTGGCACTTAGTGAATTAATTATAATGCATTTGCAAGGGCACTCCGTCCCTCGTGGGCTGAGCAGATGGATGCCTGTGGCTTATGCTGCTGATGTGACTTGCGCCCGTTTCCTTGCCCAGCTAGTTGTGCCTCAATCCGGAAGTGGCACAGGCCAGGCTGCGGCACTGCAGGGGTTAAACAGGCACCGCCCGCCTCTGCTCCGCCCCCTGCCGGAAGGCCCCAGCCCCACCCCCGCTCTCGTTTCCATTTGGGCCCTTCCCTCTACTAGTATCCCCCTCCCCCTTTTTTTTTTCCGAAGTGGACCCTTCCTCAGAGTTCACGAGCCGTGCGGGTAGGACAAGGCCAATGCCAAATGAGGGGTGGGTGAGCCCTGGAAATGCCCACCGTTCCCTAAAAAAAAGAAAAGCAAGGCAGTCCAGTGACGGAAATGGTCACGTGTCTTCTTTGGATGCCAAGTGCTAGCCTTGGGTTCCCACCCCGAGCAGCCATGCTTCGCTTCCCCTCCCCGCGGGTGGTACGTTCCCCCTTGTTTACTCTGTTTGCGTCGCCCGCTTGGGTGCGGCCCCGGCGTTACGCTAGCGTCGTACGCAAGCGGCGCAGCACGGCGGCTTTGACAGG